TATCTGACATTTTTGCTAGGCTAGCTAGCTACATTAATGTTAACATTAATCAACTAGAGTTAGCAGCTCTTTGAATCCTGGTCAATGTGAGAAGCTAGCTGTGGTACCAGTGCCAACTCTGATTCAAAAATGGACTGGACAAACTTATTTTTCATCTGCATGTATGCTGACTCGGCAGGGATGATATTACATGAGAAACATATCTGAAAGCAACACGAACAACTCAGCACAACACAGTCTCTTCAACAAGTGTTCCTCCAATGCCACTGCACACATACACGCTACACTTACGCATGCACACTGACGACGCACTTCAAAAACATTTATTGAAAGTTTTATTCTTTTTACATGTTTATTTACAGCATTAAAGTTGAAATGTATATTGTAATAGGCTGGATATTAACTTATTGGGAGAAAACTGTCAGTTCTATGTAAAATCAGACATTGAGCACCCCCATTTAGCCAAAATGGCATGATCATTGTTTCACTGCACGAGGCATCGAATCTTCAATTGAAATAAGAAATCCTGGATCCGGAGGAGGACCCACACACATTTTTTCTGCTTCCGACGCCCATGTAACATTGCAGTAACTTTTGTTCAACAGAGGTGAATGGAAGAACAGAGTATGTCTGTCGCTTTTTATTTGTTCTTCTACATCTTGGCTTCTTCACTGGTTGTTGACATAAGTGTAGTTCTAATACAGACAACAAAAGAAGTTACGCATAACCTTGGGGATTTCAATCCTAGTGACGTCCCTCTTATTCAGTCCTTTTTCCTGGATCATGTCTCGCTGCCTGAAAGTGGTTTGTGAGGCATTCATCCAGTCAAGGAAGGAGTACTCCATGATACTCCTGACCTGGGTTTTGTAGACATTGGCTCACATTCAGATTTGGCCTCAAGGTTCAAGCTTGTTGGCCAACTTCTGCAATACAGATGGCTGGTCCACAGGGGCTTTCTGTCAATGCATAGTACTAGGGTTAAGGGTTAAGACTTGGTTTTAAGTTTAAGATCAGAATCAGGGGCCTCATTGATAAAAATTTTAATAGATTTATATTTTGACTCACGCTGGGAATCCACTGACTCGGGATAGGGCACGTTATGGCACGATTTTGGTGCGTCCAAAGTCCACTGGAAGCATCTCTGAAGCGTTTCAGCAACGGAGCGTACAGCCTGCCTCACTTTATTGACTTGTTATTAATTTCTCATTTTTGTGCTTCTACTACCTTCTTCACAGCTGTGTGACCCTGTTTGTTCTGTCAACTTCAGGCTGCATTTCCCACAACGAGCTTATCAAAATCGGAGCATTTTGCCTGCCTGATTTTGCTGACATGTTTTGATTTTGTTGATTTGTAATCAGTGTTTGCATTTTGTGCTTCTACTATGTTTAAGTAGGCTACGTACACTGAAAAAAATTATAAACGCAACACTTTTGTTTTTGCCCTCATTCATCATGAGCTGAACTTAAAGATCTAAAAGTTTCTCTACGTACACAAAAGGCCTATTTCTCTCAAATATTGTTCACAAGTCTGTCAACATCTGTGTTAGTCTGGGAAAATCTGGGACGCACTGCGGCTGCACCTTGTGGATTCAAAAGCATTGACTATAATGACCGCGATTAGCTCCGTCAACCGCGGCGCAGCCGTAACGCGCCATAGCTGGAGTCAGTGCATTTTAGGGGTTAGTTTATTTACAGTTTGCTTACTTGCAATTCATAGAAGATCCTGAGGATAAAAACCTTGCTTACATTGGCTTTAACAAACCCATATGTAACAAAAAAATTTACAGCACCTCCCCTTATAATGCCAGCACTAATGAGGGTTTTGTTATGGGAACTCAGCAGATCCAGAAGCAGGCACAGAGACACTGGTTAAGGATTGACACTAGTGAGTTTATTTGCAAGAAGAGCTGAAGGGAGTGCTGTAGTGATCCAACCACAGAGAGGGAGAGCAGGCAGGCAGGTGGGTCCAAGTTTCCAACAAACACACGATTCTGGTCTGGCGGTGTGGCTCCGTAGCCTGAGCGGTTCCTGGAGCAGAGGCAGAAAAACACAGGTAGTTAGGAGAACGTTCAGAAAAGAGAAAGTCACAAACTGTCTGGTTGTTGGCAGAAGCACTTGTTACCAGGAAAGTTAACCTGGCGAGGATTGGATGTTGAGGCGGATATATCACAGTAGGAGTTAATTACTTGGATTTGCTTCAGGTGTGGAGCTGCTCCAGGCAGTCAGGTGAGGAGAGAGACTGCAACACCCCTACATGACCAGCAGGAAAATCACTTATGTAAAGTTTAGACTTTGCTTAGAGAGAAGATCATTTCCACGTTAAAGTACTACTTATTCCTGGTTTTCTGTGTAAGTCATACTTGAGATAAAAACTGACCGTAAGCCCCTTTCAAAAATGAGTTTGGGGTTAGGGCAGGGGCTGGCAAGCATGAGGTACAAGGACGTAGGTTCATGCTCTCCGCACTCACACCCAGCGGTGGACTGCATTTTCCAGGTGGGTTGAGGCACCTTGGGGCTTATGTACAGTAAAGTAGGTACAGCGGCCCATTGGTTCATTTTCTAAAATGACACTAGGCTGGCCAATCATATCTCTACTTGGCCAACCCACCTGGTGCTCAGTTACTCAATGCCTAATAGCATTGTTTTAGTAGCCTAGCATAGTTCCCCATATGCTGTTGCAACTTTGGCAGACGATTCTAACATTAGGTAACATTAGCGTTGGCTAAGCAGTGAGTATCCATATCGTACCATAATATTTTAAAAAGTATTAGGCTAAGGGTTCCCTTGATAAAGCGCTGTAAAACAGGTTTCATCTGTAGCTCTACTGTGCTAAAATGTTTGTCTATATGGTGAGTGCACTGGTCCACTTGTCCACTGGACTTCTCTGAGCTTAGACTACTCAGCATGATGTGTGATAATTTGGGGGTCTCTAAGATATTGACAGCATGATTTATTGCCATTAATTTCTATATTTCTCTATCATCATGGATCCATGCGTAAAATCAGGAGCGTCAGACTTCAACGATCACCGACCGTCTGCAGCAAGCCTGTCGTCCCGCGATCTCCTGTACATTCCTCCGCTCCACTCTCTCTCCGGTATGGGTGGTGTCGCTAGTATGACTGACGCTGGATGAATATTATGCATTATCCATGCACCACTGCTGCTGGGGGCTCTCCGCTGCATCGCGCAACTTTCGAAATTCTTCCCTATCATGGAGAAAAGAAAGGTCAGGTCGTAAACAGCAGTTGTGTGAAATGTAATTGTAGCAAAATGGCTACACATAATAATAATAATTATTATTGTTATTATTGGATGCCTGAACATGCCTGAAACTTTCACAGTCAGCCCCAGGCCTACATGCTTGCAGCCATAAATGATTCAGCAGTAAGAATCACAGTCCCGGGAAAAAAAGTGAGCTCCTATTAAAGCTATGGTACAGTTCGCACACTGAGTGTAAGGATTGTGCACTCTTTATCTGAGGCTTAGCCCTGTCTGCATGTCAGATTGCTCTTGGGCAAGATACTGAACACCAAATTGGCTGTGAGTATTAATGGTTCTTTCTATTAGGCAGATGGCATGGTGGTTTCTGCCATTAGTGTATGCATGTGTGTGAATGGGGCGAATGTGACTTGTAGAGGGGTTGGAAGAGTAGAAAAGGGCTATACAAGTACAAGCCATTTTTCATTTACTGGTGGGTGATGTTCGACCAATTGTGGGGGGCTGGTCTGCTCACACCAGAGCAGGGAAACTACACAAACAACAATTTATAGCCGCACTGGTGACACTGCTTTAGGGATGTGATGTCTGTCTGTCCTCCACTTTGGTTCAGACCTTCATGTTCCCCTAAGGATGAACTGTAATAATCTCATCTGACTTTTCATTTAGCGCCATCATCTGTTCGACATGTGAAATTGTCCAACACTTCGGTTTATGAGCAAATAACTAATCACGTTCCCATCCGCTATAGCAAATCTTATGCTGAGCTAAGATGATGAACATGAGGGTTTTTTGCATGATGAATGTAAGTCCAGTATTCTGTTAGCTCTGTGTTTGGTCTCCACCAGCTCCTAAGGGAAATATATGGCTCTTTAGCTGCTAAATGCTCCGCTATGTTCACCAGCTGCTCTCTGACAGAGGCTGTTTGCTGCTGGGCAATTCGTGTACAGTGGATTTATCAGAGCTTGTTTGCTGATAACAGCTGATGATGTTGATGGTAATGCATCAACATATCAAACTGAAGATCTAATTTAAAAATGCTACTATGGCATATACATATGTTCTGCTGTTCAGTTACCCCAAGTTTTATTACCCTGTCCCAGAATCATCTCATGACTCTCATGTATTTGGGATGTTCAACATGTACTTTGGCCAATTTCCTAATCCACAAGCCTCCACCAGCTCTCCAGCTGAAGCCAAATCCACCATCTGGAGCCATTTTATTCTCCTCGCTGTTAGAATCCAGCTGAATACAAATGGGAGACAGCAAAAGGTCAGGAAAGGTCAGAAATCTAATTGAAAATGTGCGGGTGTACAGATGATGCCATTTGATGTCCCACTTTTACAGCCTGCTTCTCTTCTGCTCCAGCCACTGGAGGTATGTTTCTCTGAGACTCTCAGAGTTTTGGAACTATTTCTCTACCAACAAAAGTGTATCCATATGCCCAGTACTTAACTCCAGCTGTGGCATGAGTTGTGATTTAGTGTCAGTGAGCCTGGGTTTTGTTTTTGGTCTCTGTACAGACACGACTGTAGCAAACCTGACAATGACGGCATAACTTCAGAAAATGCTACTGTGTCCAGCTACTATTTGCCAAGGAATAGTTCCTGCACTTAATTCCCCCTAATTGCTTTGACTTTTCCGTTTATGTACAGATTAAACAAATAATAACCATAAGTGTTAAAGAAACAAATTAAGCAAATAAGGCTTTCCAAAAGGGTTCAACTTTTCCTTTTATTCTACAGGAAGTGTTGACTTTCATTACTGTCAATAATACACTATACAAAACCAAGTTTAAAAGTGCTTTAAAGTTCAGTTTTCCTCCCATTATTTGAGAACCACTCTGCATTTAAAAGTCACCTTGAAGAAGGCTTACGAACGTGTGACCCATGAGCCTGTCCTTGTATATCCAAAGTGAGAGCATCGTCTGTATTCTTGGCACGTAGTCAAACCCGTTTCCAGTGGGTGTTGGACTGGTTCTCATGGTGCAGCTGTGGTGAGGAGAGTGTCCATTTTGGGAACCTCCGAATTGCATCTCTGCTTTCTGCAGATGTTGTGGTTCTGTTGGCTTCATCGACCGTGACTTTCAACCGCTCTCTAAGGGTGAGGGTCAGCACCTCAAAGGCCATGCTGGAAAATGGTAGATTGCTTCAGCCGGTTGGGAGTGACTTGCTGCCCCAAGTAAAGGAGTTTAAGTATCTTGGGATCTTGTTCACAAGTGACGGCAAAATGGAGCCAGAAGGCAAAGCTTTCCATTTACCCAGTCATCTACGTCCCAACCTTCACCTATGGACAAAATTACTTTAGCAGTTAATGATTCTCCTCAGAATATTCCGCGCTTGCCAGAAACTGGTCACACTCAGCTCTGCTAGTGATCACGCATTTTCACACCTATGGCTCATTTACCCGTCCATATATGTCCCAACCTTCACCTAAGCTGTGGGTAATGACCAAAAGAATGAGATTGCGGCTACAAGTGGCTGAAATGAGTTTTCAGAGTGGCTGGGCTCAGCCTTAGAGAGGTTGAGGAGTTTGGACATCCGGAGTGAGCTTGGCGTTGAGCCGCTGCTCCTTCTTAAAGGAACCAGTTGAGGATTCCTCCTGGGTGCCTTCATATGGAGGTTTTCCAGGCATGTCCAACTGGGAGGAGACCCTGGGGTAGACCCAGAACTGAGAACGCCTTGAGATCCACCATGAGGACCTGGAAAGTGTTGCCACTGCAACCTGTCCCCGGATAATCAGAAGATTGATGAAACTGCAGCATTCAAACAAAGAATTCTGAGCGAAGAATGAGAAAATAAAAGGGAGAAATAGAGAAGGAGGTTTTAAAGATACAAAGACAGATCGAGAGGGGGAATGAAGACAAGCAGTTATGAGAGAAGAAAAATAAGAGAGAGAAACAGGTCAGTATATGAAGTTGTTTCTAAAAATACAGTTTAATGAAAAGCTTTCTCCAAGTCATAAATCCTGAGTCAGAAGAAGGAGATTTACTACTGCTAAAATAATCTAGACCTTCAGACTAGGACTTTTCTGATGATTGTTGGAAGAAAAGACAGAGTGGATGTCAGAGGCAGACTGATGGGAACTTCACTCTGATAATCCCAGAATTTAGCAGGCTTTTCTTACAACCCCACCTTGAAAACTGAAGCATGAGCTGCCTGGAAGTTCATCTTCCTGCAGGGATTCTCTGGTATTCACCGCCACCGCTGTGCTGACACGTGGGACAGTCTAGCAGCTCCCAGCTGTAACTGAACTATACTGATGAAGTGATCCTGCAGGAGTGCTGCAGCCTGTATGCAGTAGAAACCACATTAATACATTTAATGGCAGCTGTTATTTTAACTCTGATAACACAAAGGAAACTTAATGCGCCTTCCATTACATTTAAAAAACTGACATTGGTTCACTTTCTTTGGCGAAAGTTAGGAGAAGCCTAATGCCACTCTCATAGTTCCACATTGAATATGAAGCTACAGCCAGCAGCTGGTTGGCTTAGTATGACTAGGACTTGCCAGCCTGGCCATTAACTTGGGGTACCAAAATTTAGCACCACTGCAATATTTGAATGCTCTCAGTATGACATCATGCTCTTCCTTCCTTCATAGTTTCCTTGGTCACACAGCAGGTCAGGACTTGAAACAGGGAGGTAATGACAATGTGTTTACGCCGGCCTGAATACTGTTCATGTCTAAGCTACACAACCATGGACGGGATAATGTATGTTTTTCTATGAGCTGAGGTACATTCTGAAAATTCTGTACAAAAACTCATCCTCACCACCGTACAGGTGGTTTGTTCAAGCAGCTTATAACATCCCATATTTACATTTGTTTTATTGACATCTGGTGGCCATAAGACTGTAGTGTGGCACGTAGGACCAGGAAGGGGGAATTAAATGACAGCCAGCTACACCACCTAGGGAATTGCACCCCTGGAAATACCAGTTAAATCTCAATTGATTGAGATAAAGCACACAGGAACGTTACTGAGGAGGCAGAGATGTGATTCAAAATATGCCAAATTATATTTTTAATAAGCAACACAACAATTGGGAATGGGACTGCTGAAAGGAAAATAAATGTAACACTACAATAAAAGGGTAGATAAAACCTCTTTATTACAATCAAGAGTTAACAGCTTTAATAAAAAGTTCAAATAAAGCAGGTCACTTGAGGAGAGGCTGACTATACTGAGTGCTACCGCTACCCACCTTAAGTGCAGCACTACAACCTCACATTATTCACAGCAAAAAAAAGGTGCCTTCTATATAGTGTCCCCGTGCAACTACTCACATGCAAAAGTGAAGGGACCTTGCCACAGGTGCCTAGCCTCCCAACAAGATGGCACCCTGCTTAATATAAACTTAACAAAAACAAATTAACATAAAGTAACAAAACAAAAAACCCAGTAGGCTAAGCAAGTGCAAACTATACTAACTACTAAACTAAAGCAAAACAGCACACAGGCAATAGGGCAAACAAAAGGGCAAAGCAGGAAACTAAATGAATTAAGTAGGCAAAACACAACCAAGGTCAAAACAGCAGTAGTCTAAAACAAGGAGGAACCTGGAAAAGTGAGGAACAGTTAAAAGCAGGCTCAACCTTACTGCATTAAAATACTTTAAAACCATGTATATTCACCACCTCTGAGATGGGTCATGAAGATACAACATCCAAAAGGTCACAAGGCAGGAGAAAAGGAGGTTCCTAATAGTGTCAAAATGCAGGTAAGCAACCATAATCAACTGTTCAGGGAAAACAGATTTGCATGAAACTATTCCTTTCATATGCCTAGACCACAAACACCAACCACAGCAGGGACAGATCAGGAAGCAGAGAGAGCAAGGGAGCACAGGTGGCTTATATAGCCTAAACCTAATAAGGAGGTTGGCCAGGGGAAGTTAAGTCCAGGCTGCATTCAACCCACCACACCTTA